GGACGCGTGGTTGGCAGGCGCAGGCGCGGTAGGGTTGGCTGGCCCGGCTGGGTCGCTGTGTGCCGAGGCGAGACGGTTTGGATCGAGGAGGGAGGGAGGGGCGCCGCCGCGGTGGGCAGGGAGGATGTCTTTTCTTTCTTGGAGCCGGGGCAAACGATAACAAATGGGCCGGGAGTATCGGGACCGGTGGGGAGGGCCCGCGTGGCAGCGGCGGGTTCGGCTTTTTTTGGGAAAGAAATGAATGGGGAATCATGCACCTGTCTCCGGTTTGATTGAGCTGGTGGTACTATATATCGCCAAGGCCACCCGCGCTGCTTACCCCGTTTTGATGCGTCGGTCATGATGGAGTGGGCTCCTTTGATTTGATTCAAGGGGATTTTGTTAAAAACCTTCGAAGCTTTTCCTATTTTTCTTGTCTGATTCGTAAGGAAAAGATCCTATAACATCCTCAAGCCAACCTATGCTTTGTGGGTGTGATCTACTAATCTTAAAACCTATGATTCTCGATTTATCACACACATTTGGCTTATCGAGCGCACCTACGACTAGCTTGTGTTGTTCATATTCTAGGGCTACGAAACATGGCTGAACAATTACAAGCGCAGGTCAAGTCGATCCGTAGTTTTCCTCGCATTTTCGTTTCTTGTTGGTTGCCTGTGTAGTGGAGATGATTGCACGGAGCTATGATCATTTCAAATGCGTCGGTGTTGGGCGGGTGTTACACTCTTACTACGAACTACTCAGTTCGTCCCATAATATAAGACATTCTTGAAAGCTAACATAGCTTGCAAAACGTCTTATGTTCTAGACTGAGGGAGTAGATTCTAGCACAGTGTTGATTTGAAAAGCGTGGCATACGGTACTCGAGAGCATCGGTCGCCTTTTGAATATAATTTGGGACAGTTTGGCTCGAGTGTTGAAATTGGTGCCGTAGGTGAGGTTGGAGTTCAACCATCCGTCCTGAACTTGAAAAAGTGGAGTTCCTCAAGCAACAAACATATATTATTTCCACTAAAAAAACAAATGCATACTCTTCTTTACCCGTAGAAAAAGATCAAAACTGAAGAAGGGCAAACATTAATTTATTAGAGAAAAAGATCCCATGTGTTTGATCCATCGTTCATGTTGGTGCGACAAGAAGGTGTGTGTAGGCAAATCGCTTTGTTGTCCCACGTAGCACGCTTCGTGGCACCTATCTAATCTACCTTTCCTCTTTGAACTGTCTTGCTTGGAGGTTTCGGTCATCCACTTGAGCTTGCGGTGGTAGTAAATCATTGCACGATGTTTCTTTGCTGACCGGTAGGAACACGGTCACGAATTGTATGTCACCTGCAATTGTTCATCTGTTGCAAAGTGGCATCAAGCAAAACGGAGCAGAATACCAAACGGGCGTTGAAACTTGGAATGAAAAAGGAAATAAAATATGCCCAAGAAAACATGTACTATTTGCATAGTTCATTGCTGTATTATACCGTATTTTCTATATGCGTTATTTGTCATTGGAGGCAAATGGGAAATGGCTTTTCGGCTCAGTTTGCATGATAACAAAACTGGGAGAGGGCAAAGCTCGGTTGGCTTCTCCCACGTCCCAAATTGTTGGTGAGTTGTCTTTGTCCTTTCGTTTCTTCGATGGCCTACGCTGGCAGAGTCAACAGCCATGTGTCGCAATCTCCAATCCAAACCAGGTCGTGTGCATTCTCCAAATTTGCGTGCAAAGCGCACTCTAAAATGGTGCTTCTTTTATTATTCTAAAAAGTGGTGCTTTTACGACATCGCCGTCCGGAAAGAAAGATGAATCTTTTTTTTTTGCATGGAAAAGAAAGATGAATCTGGTGCCCCGATACGGACGTTTGTTCCTGGGTATACACCCTGTATGAAAAAAGAAAAGAAATAGTGATGCAAAAAGAAAGAAAATTCTGAAAATGTTTTTGAAATAAGTTGAGCTTCTATTGTAGTCCTAAAAAATTTAAAAAGTTCAAATGGGTGTGAATAGTAACGTGTATATACCAATAAATAAAAATACCCCTGAAGTCAACGGGGGTTTTTCTTTGTGAAAAACTTATATAGTGGTGCAAAAAGAAGACAAGTTTATTCCAGAAAAAGTTCTGGATTTTTTTGACTTTTTGTAATTATTTTTTCTATATATGGTGTATATACACCCAAGAACTAAAGGGCATTTTCCTCTTGTGCCCCTCCATTGTTATATGCAAATATGTAGACAACCGACGATCATTTGAATACATGTCTTGCGGGTAGTCGCCGAAAATGTGCTCCCCGTGCATCATGTGTATTGGCAGGGACCTATTTGTCTTTGTCATCTTCTTTTACCATTATCATTGGCACAATTTTTTTTCTCTTGCCTTTGACTTTTTTCAGCGGCAAATCATGAAACATTCGGTCTACAACAATTTTCGTATATATAAAAATTCAAGTACTGTACAATATTTACAAGAAGGAAAAGAAACAAGAAAGAGTAAAATACACTAAAGGTCCTAAAAGTATTTCAAGTGTGTCAAGTAGGTCATAAAAGCTTGAAATCGTTCACCGCGGGTTCAAAATATGTGCAAGTCATTCACTGCGGGTCCTAAAAGTATTTCAAGTGTGTCCAATAGGTCCTAAAAGTCATGAGAAAATACACATATAGGACCCGGTGAATGATTTCAAACTTTTAGGACCTACTTGATACCATTGGAATACTTTTAGGACCTCCTGTGCATTTTACTCTTTAAGAAATACATAATTGGTATATGAACAAAATTAGCCAATGCCTTCTCTTGGCAAATACATGGCTTCACAAAGGAAGGATAACACAAGCTGAAGCGACCGAGGAATGGGTAATCCATAGTTGATCACGAGCTCTGATGCTCCCAGGTGAACAATACAAATAAATAGTAAAAAAATGAAATTTTTACACATCACAGATGAACAAGTTTTTAAGGGCGTGCAAAATTTCATTCAATTTGACATCAGGGAGCTTAGGACAGAAAGAATAAAATCATTGCTCCAAAACTGGAAATATTTAGCCTTTCTTAAAAACACTGGATTTTCTTTAGAGTTCATTCGATACCCAATCCCTAAGAAATGTTTGCAATCCCTTAGAAAACCTATTGATCTTTAAAAATATATAATAGAAACAAATAATTTTGTGTATTTATTTATTTTAATTTTACATCTCCCTAGCACCGAAACGCCATCCTCCCGAGGGAGACTCTATGAAGGATGATGAATAAGCCACTGATTAAACAAGTGTGTTATTAATCTAGTTGCTTGGTTGAACAGTCACATACTGCTTGGCTATGAATTCCACAATCATGAGGCTCTCTTTGAGTTGATATCTTAT